TTTAATCCTCTCTCTCTCCTACTTGAAGCGGACAAGAGGTTGTTGGAAGGAAAATTAAAGGATGCTTGTTTTATTGGTTTTGACAAGGACTTGCTTGAATCTATTAAGACTAAGGTTTTCATTAGTGATGTATCCGAAGTTGATGGCATTCAAGAAATTCTAAAGGGTTTGGATAGTGATCTGAAAACCAACGAGGCAATAATTGCGGCTACTCGAAATCAAGAGGTTAACGCAGCTCGACTTGTGGAATTGGCTCAAAAGGACTTGAATGCTGCATTGCAAGAGCATGCAAATGTGATGGCAAATCAAACCCAGCTTTTTAAACAACGCCAAGACATTCTAGCAATGCAAAACTAATGCTGGGAAATGATTGCTGCTAAGAATAAACAATTTCGATTTTAGCTTTGATTTATTTGTCATGCTTCACTTTTTTTTTTGGTGATTAAAAATAAACCAATGTGCACTTGATGTATTTGTTGCGACGAGAATACTCCCTATCTCGACATAATGTTTGTAAGAAATATTGAAATTTTAATGTCGGTGTGGATGGAACTGAATGCATCCATGCTGTACTGATTTTTTTTTGGGCACAGTAATTTTGAATATGAAGTTATTGCATTATCATTATTATTCAAACACAAAAGAAAGATTTGTATTGCTTTTAAAACAGAGCATGGTGAGATCAATGTCGGATATCCTCTATTGAAATTTAGCTTGGTCAAGTAATATGGGACACACAGTCGCAAGCTAATTGAAAACTTATCCAAAATGGTAGTGTAGCCTCTCATACAATGTTTTATTACCAGAGGTAGATGTATTTCCAAGATCATATATCCACAAATCTTCATCAACTTGCCACTCGTTAGTGATGCCGAATCAATGTATTTTCCCTGTTCTTTTTGGATATTGAAAACGGCATCGTATAAGGGAGGCTAATTCCCTTCCATATACGACCGAGACCTTAACGTCATGTGAGAATCTCTCTTTTAATAAATCATTGTTTCTAATAACAATAATAATGATGATAATTTCTTTCTTTTTTGTGGGTATGTTAATTCATTCCAAAAGTAGAGCATAACTTTGCTATGCTTATAATTGAGAATGTAATAAAAGATGTTACTCCTCCGGTCCTTAATATAGGACCCAATTCTTGAGTTGATTTTTATTCTAAATATAAAACCCATTTCTCATATTTATCAATTTTCTCTAAATTACCCCTACGGATACCCCCAATCATAGTCAAGTAGAAGAGGAAAATAAGGTATTAAGAAAGATGATTATAGTGTTTTAGGAAAAATGTGTCACTTTTCTTATAATTAACTAACTTACCTAACGTCCTTAATCTAATCAAATTAGTTAAATGGGTCTTATATTAAGGACCGGAGGAGTATATCTTAACTTTTATATATATATATATATATATATATATATATTCCTTCTACTCACATGTTTAGCATCAATCCAATCTATAGCATAACATGACAACTCTCCAAATCATTCACAAGTGAAGAAGAGGTTGCTCGCAGAGCATAAAACCACAAAGAAAGCTCTGTCATGCTTGCTTTAATTTATTTAATTTTGAATATTAAGTTGTTGAATTTATTATCATTATTATTCAAACAACAAAGAAAGCTCTGTCATACTTGCTTTAAAACAAAGCATGACGAAATCAATGCCTGTTGTCCTCGGTTATTGTCAAGTAATGTTCAAAAAATAATTAACAAGAGAACAGAGGAAGGAAGAAAAATATAACAACATTAAACCACTTAATCGGTGGGGCATCTACAAAAAGCTTTGAAAATAGCCAAAATTGGGTTAACTTAGTATTCCACTTGTTAATCAGTGAGAAAATGTATTATTAATACCCGTGAGGATAATTGTTATTGTTAACAATTGTCTTTTTAGTTATTAACACATACTTGAAAAAGAAGATGAGGAAAATTTCATAACCAAACACGTAAAATCTCTTATAATGAGATTCTTTGAGACTTTTATTAATTTGATAATTTTAAGGATTTTTTATTTTTTATTTTTTGGGTCAGATCTTAATGTAATTTTTCCCAAAAAAATTGACGACATATACAATAAAAAGAAAGATGGACAGTGGCAACGCATTTATAATGGCATAAACGGTCTCTTAAAAATGAAAGGTTACATGTTTAATGTTTTTTGTAACTATAAAATATAATTTCTCTCTTTCCATGCTTCATAAGTAGTTCTCCTTATAATATAACATGTTTTGTTTGGAGAATTAATTTTTTTTACATAATATCCTTAACTAAATATAAAATTTTCTAATTGGTTAAACAAATTCTTCCAACTGATGACTTTTATTAAAGACAATTTTAATACTTCATAAAAAGAAACTAATTTTAACTAAGATCGGAGGGAATAGTTTTTATTATCAATAGAAGATATTCCTCATATAAAAAATTATGCTCTTACTGTTTCATAAGAAAAAAGTACTGGTAAACACTTATCTTTTAAAGTATACTATTTTTATTTATATATTTACTTTACATGGATAGTATTATTATAATTTTATAAAACTCTACAGGTGTATATAGAAAGTGTCATCCACCTCTGCTTTGAAAAACAGAGGACTCTGGCCTAGAGGCATGTGGTTCTAATACATCTGACGAGCAAATATGTGAAGTTACATATATATATATATATATATATATATAATATTTGAGGCGTGAATGATAATTTATTTTTTGGCCCCAATTCTTGGACTAAGACATATACTTAAATTTTTTATGTTTTACAGAGAATCATTGGAAATAAAATTGAGCTCTGTTTCTAGGGTTTGAGGGACTTGTTCTGTAATTCGATTGGTGTTCTCTGCTTTAAGGCAAGGGGACGAGGCATATATAACATCATAAGTTACTACATATAAGCTAAGGACGGATAATTGAAGGATTAAATATTTATTGATTTTCACCACTGATTTTCACCACAAAATATTTTTCTGATGGATTTAAGAACAGAAATTTATTTGTAGTTACCGCTAGAATTGTGAAAAATAAAATTTTTGTTAAGAAATTTTGTTACTAATTTGCCGTTTATAATAAAGGGGAAGGCATTTGCCGTTTGAAACGGAATTGAATTGACAAGGAGCAATCAAAGTAGATGGGTATTAATAGGAGGGCTGTATTTATAGTCTTTGCATTTTCTATATCAATGAAAGAAATAACCATATGATAGATACATAGGCCTGTTACGCTGATGCACCAGATATCAACATACGTATGTTATGCCAAATCAATAATCATACTAATCTCTTGAGACCAAGCCAATACATTCTAATCAATGTAGGGAGATATTAAAAGCCAAAAAAGGACATTTTTAAAAAAAATAATATTTTATATTCAATAATAATTGTATGCATTCACTGACAAGTTGTTGGTTGAGATAGTAAACAGATTCACTCTCTTAAAGATGAGATAGAAGCGCATTTATTAAAAGAGTTTTAATTTTAATGCTTGGCCCAGTAAAAATTAGTCTCAAATTCAAATTTATTTGAGGATACTAAAAACAAATTAATTGTATGTGTCCATTTTCCAAGTCCAAAATTTATATGCGATACTATTGACATCCAGTATATTTATTTTGCAAGTTTTAATTTGAAAGAATATGATACGGGAAAAAACTTTTTTTTTTTGGGTAAAAAAGGAGGCCTCCGGCCCAAAAAACATAGATACAAATTAACCCATGCCAACCTTATTCGGGGACACCAAAACCAATATCCTCGACGCACGTAAACTCCCCCCCCCCCCCCCCCCGCCAAAAAAAAATCCTTGCATTGGATCTCAATCTTGTCTTTCTCAAACCAGTGCTTTACCGTTTCAGGGACTCTATCCCAAACATGAACGCTGGCTTTCAACTTCAAACCCGTCTCGACCAGAATATCGGCACAACCATTCAGATATCGACTAATCTTGCATAGTTTAACAATCCAGTTCCTATAAAGCGGAGACTTGATGCGCTTTTGCATACCATTAGTAAAATCCCCTACCTCCTTCCCCTTCAATTTCCTAATTGAAATCTCAGAATCAATTTCAACAATAATCTTCTGATAGCCTTTTTGCCAAGCCAACTCCAACCCTTGCAAAAGGTCCCAACTTTCAGCTTCAACTACTCCGCAGATACCTAGATTTCGAGAAAAACCAGATATCCATTTTCCCTCTTCCCCTTGCAAAACTCCACTACAACTTGCAAGATCTGGATCGCCATTACAGGCTCCATCAACATTCAGTTTGACCCATGCAGATTCAGGAGGTTCCCATCCTTTCACCCTCTCCACAATGCAAGCCTTCAATCTGTCTGTCAATCCTTAGCTTTCGCAATTTCAGAGGCAAAGTACTAGATTTTTTGAGCTAGTTCACCACAAGATCCAAATGCCCCAGCGAACAGTCGAGAGTTCCTGTTCTTCCACAAATACCAGCAAGAAACCCCAAAGATGATACCCTAAGGTATATTTCTAATCTTCCTTTCTTCTTTCAAATTCAAAAGCAACCAATCATATATAGTCTTAGAGGGAAAAAAATGTTTGAAGCTAAATGTCAAATTCAAGAGTCTTCCAGACCTCCATCGCAAAGCTACAAACTCTCACAACATGAAAAGTAGTTTCTAAATAGCCACACACATCACAATCACCTGCTGCTCCCCATCTCTAATCTCTTAGAGCCATTGTATGGAGATTGTCCTGAGCCACAAGCCACAGAAAACAACAAATCCTCTTTGGCCCCTTTCATTTCCAAGTAGCATCCCACAACTTATCCTTCACACCCAAACAACCCCCCATTATGCTCCTATACTCTTTTTTGACCAAATAAATCCATTTCCACCTCTCCACAGTATCACATCACGTCCATTCTCAAAAGGAGGGAGAAAAGCCCGTAACTTATCTATAGCCTCTGTACTAATCAAATTTCAAAAATTTTCCCATTCCCATTCACTTTCATTGCTGACAACATCAGAAATAGACCAGTCCAAACACTTCTCCTCTATGCTTGTCTCACAATGATTAATAAGTAAGGTATCTTTATCCAACCATGCTTCAAGCCAGAAAGAAGTTTCTTTTCCTCCAACAACTCCTTTCCAAGAAAAATCATTTAGGATTTCCCAAACTACTCCCAAGTCCTGCAACAAAGGTGAGGCATTCTTTGGAGCTGGAAGGGTTGAAGAGAGCTCTTTTCCATTATTATACTTAGCTTTCAGCACTTCTTCCTATAAACCATTCCCCCCATTCCTCAATATCTAAGCAAATTTTAGCAAACAAGCCTGGTTCATAGCTTCCAACTTCAATAATCCTAAGCCTCCATTACTCCTTGGCCTCTGTATCTTCTCCCATCCCACTAAATGGATTTTGTGTTGATCCCCTTCATGGCCCCATATAAAATTCCTCTAGATTTTCTCTACTTCCTCAGAGATATTTTTAGCCAACAAAGTTATCATCATAGGATAAATAGGAACAGCTCTTATTACAGATTTAGCCAAAGTGATTCTTCCTACCAAACTTAGACAATTCACTTTCCACCGTGACAATCTTTTCTTTACCTTATCTATCATATATATGAAATTCTTGCTTCTTCCCCTGTTGTACGTTAGAGGAATACCCAAGTAATTTCCAAAATTCTCAGTGGCCGTAAATCCAAATCAATCACTTAACTTTTTCCTAGTCTTAGTAGAGACATTCTTAGAAAAAAGAACAGCCGATTTATTAGCATTTATCTTCTGCCCAGAGAGGGCGCAAAAATGGTTCAAACAGTTCATAATGACTTCCATTTGCTTCTTTGTAGCCACCCCAATAAGAATAGATCATCAGCAAACATAAGATGAGACACCTCTGGGCCATGTTTACCAAACTTAATTGATTCCCAATCTGCTTTCTGCCTGGCTTCTTGGATGATATTGGTCAGTTTCTCCACTGCCAACACAAAGATATAAGGAGATAGAGGGTCCCCTTGCCTTATTCCTCTAGTTGGACAAAACTCCTCTATCTTTTCACCCTTCCAAATGATCTAAATCAAAATAGAGGAAATACACTTCATAATCAACCCCCCGGAATTCCTCTTCCAACCCCACTTCCAAGAGGATGTCATCAATAAACTTCTAATGTAATCTGTCATAGGCTTTTTCTAAATCGATCTTAATGGAAAAAAAACCTGCTCCCTTTCATATTCTTCATCGAGTGTACCACTTCCTGGGCTACTACAATATTCTCTTGGATGTGCCTACCTAGAACAAAGCTGACCTGATCAAGAGCAACTACTTTCCCCAACACATGCTTAAGCCTCCTTACAATAATCTTAGTAACACATTTATAGACCACATTATAAAGGCCAATTGGTCTCATTTGCTTTAAAAATTCAGGTTTGTCCACTTTGGGAATTAGAACCAGCAAAGTTCTATTCACTTCCTTTATATCTTCCTTCCCCAACCACAACTTCTAAACATGCAAACATAACTCCCTTCCAATAATCTTCCACTCTTTCTGAAAGAAAGTGGCAGGGAACTCGTTTGCTCCAGGAGCTTTAAAGCCTCCAATAAAGAAAAGAGCTTCTCTAACCTCATCATCTAAAATCTTCCTACCCAATCCCTCTAACTCTTCTTCAAGTAAAGCTGGGAAAGAGACCTGAACATCATTATTATCAATAGGACTCATATTACCCAATCTATCTTCGGGGAACAAAGATTCCTTTGGTCTTCTACCTAATCCCCTTCTTCATTTTTTAGCATTGCCACTTTATTCCTCCTCCTTCTAGAGAGAGTACAAACATGATAAAATTTAGTATTTCTATCACCATCATTTATCAACTCGCCCCTTGACTTTTGGTACCACAAGACCTCCTCCTACAATAAGACCTTATCAAGTTCCTTTTGCAACTCACGTTTCAGATTACATAGTTGTCTACACGACCTGTTAAAGTTGCTTATCTTTTTCTGAATACTATCAATTCTTCTCAGAAACTCCTTCTTTTTCTTTTGAATATTCAAAAATACATTCTGATTCCATAGCAACAGTTTCTTTTCAAGAGACACAAGTCTATGCATCAGATTTACTTCATCCATCCAAATACCCTTCACAAAATCTTCAAACTCATTGTGAAGCATCCAAGCTGCTTCAAATCTAAAGGGTCTACTCCCTCTATTACCCCCATCTTCATTTAGGCAAAGCAAAAGAGGGCTATGATCAGAACAGCACAGTCTAATGAGGTTTTTGACAACTGCATTATGAAACAGTACCCTCCATCTAGTATTACATAGTCCCCTATCCAAACCTCTCAAACACCCTTTCATAGTCGGGTATGAGTGGCCCTTTCCAAGTAAACCTGTTCCCCCAAGCCCCCATATCAATCAAACTGCAATTATTAATTCTTTCCTCGAAAATCTCACATTTGCATTGGTTAATAAGAGCACCTCCCTTTTCCTCCCTCACGTCTCGAATATCATTTAAATCACCAATAACCATCCAAGGTAAGATATTAACTGAAGCAAATAACTCATGTCTTCCCAAGACATCTTCTTATCTCTCTCACGAGGGCTGACATAAGCAATAGTTAGAACCCATCCCGCTTCGTTACTATTCTTGACCTTCAAGTGGATACATTGAGAGTTTTCTTTTAATATAGAAAAATCTCATACATCATCCTTCCAAGAAATCCACACACCTCCAGAAAGACCCCACCCAGTGCGGCACACCAGTTCGTATAGCCCACTTTGCGAAAGATCTCCCCTGCCTTGCTATAATCAATTCTTGTTTCTAGCAACCCCAGAAAATAGGTCTTCTTTCTTGAATCAAGAATCTAAGACCTCTCTCAAATCTCTTACTACCCACTCCTCTGTAATTCCAGACAAGAAATTTTTTGTCACTATCCATGTAAAAGAACAGGGAAAAAAATAGGTCTCAAACAAAAACCAAAAGCTAGTCAATGCTCATAATAGCCTCACTCCAATTCCCATTATCCTTCTCAACCTCCTCCACACTACGTCCCCCTTGATCAGGAGGCCTTCTAGCAAAGCTTTTTCTGACATGAAGTAGCTCTTTTGCTATTTCAGGTGTTTCATACACCACATTCACATCCAATTCCCTTAAACATTCTCCCTCATTGTTCACTACTAATATCCCCCTATTGTGAACCTCCATACTCCTCTCCCTGACCTCCTTTAGCCTTCTCCTATCTTTATTAAGAAGCACCAAGGCTCCATTCACTAGAAACTTGGGCAGTAGAGTGTACATTGCTTTCAACTTCACATCTAGGCACATTCTTTTTCTTATACAATATTTTCTCATGATACTTCTGCGCAGACTCCTTCCTTTCAACATCAACAGGCTTCCCATTATTCTCAACATCTGCCATATTTGCTAAGTTACCAAAACGAGACTGTGTCCTTCCTTGACCCTCATAAAACCACTGATCACCATTAAACCCTCCTTGAAAGGACCTACGAAAATCTCTGGTGTACTGCACCATAGACTCCCAAACACATAATCCTCTTTCATTCCATCCGCCCCTTGTGCTTCTTTTTCACCATTCACATCTGTAGCCTTTTCTTTACACTCCTTCTCAGTGTGTCCATACATGCCACAGCAAAAACACAACATGTGTAAACGTTCATAAACAATTGGTCTCTTCTTCCCATCAATGATGTACAAAGGTAATAATACCTTCCTTAAATCAATCTGAACCCCAACTCTTGCATACCCCCCTTTGGACAAAGTAAAAGTAGACATTCTACCTTATTAGCCTTGCCGATCTCATTACCCATGGCTTCAAGGATATCTTCATCGTAATATTCAAAGGGTAGATCAGGAAATCTGACCCATATTAACACTTCCTCGACAGCCTCCACATTAGGATCAAAATTAGGCCTCCATTCTCTCACATTAAGATAGCAATCGGAAATCATCCAAGGGCCCCCTAACAATGCTAGTTCATAATCCTCAAAAAAACCATTAGATAGGTCCACAACAGTCACCACCCCGGATCTAGTCCACATCTTTTGAATTCTCTGCTCCATTCTACTAAGCCCTAAGCTCTTGCGCAATAGTTTAACAATAAGACTAAGCTTATATGGTTTTCTGATTTTCTGCAGAGCAACATCAGAAAAGATAAATTCAGGAACTAGGAATCTACCTCTTGAGTGCTTTAGAACCTTAATTTGTGACTTCATCGGCCCAAAATCCAAATCCTCCTCAACTCTCCTTCCATGATCGTTACCAAAGGCTCTTGAACCAATCCCCTTTAGCAATTCACAGAAAGATCTCTACCTCATCTCTTCATCACCATCGTTTGGAGAGCTCGCTTTGATCTTCTTACTACTCTGCTGGAGCAAATCTGCCTCCTCCACTATCTTCGTTCTTGCATTGCTAAGCTTAGGGAATTTCGCCACAGAGAGAACCATTTTTGGCAATTCACAACTCTAACTACGGAAAAAAAAACTTGTGTGCATATTTATTTTTTCTTAAAAAAAAAAAAGAAGTGAAATCATTTCAATATAGCTAAGATCGCCATATTTACCAATATCTCTTCTCCTTCCATGAGAGTCTTCATTTGTCTACAAAAAAATTATTAACAATTAAAAGAAATCCATTTAAATATGAACTACAAAAATTTGATAAATAAGTAATTGTTCTTTTAATTGAATATACAACGAGTTCATCTTCCCTTCTCTCTTTTTTGTTTTTTGTTTTTAAAGAAAAAGAGTTATTTCAACTTTAATCCTTTCTTTTTGAGTATTCTAAAATTTTTCATTAGATTTTGGTAGTCACAGAAAATTAATCATTTAACATTAGTTAAAAATGGACGTTTAGCAAAAGCGATTCGCAGGAGTTCGAATATGCTTAAAAGTGCTTTAGAATTGGGGAAAATTTCAGAGTAAGATTTTTGAAATTATCATTTCCTAATCTAGATACCAAAGAGTTGAAAATGATGAAAAAAGATGTGGTGTCTAATATAGTGTTTTGTAAATGCAGTTAAATGACTAAAATGCTTTTATACCATATTTGAAAAAAGAAGCTATCAAATTTGTTATTGATAGTACACAACTTATTAATAAATAACTTGTTATTATTAGTATATTTTTGTTATTAGTTATTCAACACTTATCATTATCAGTTTACAATTTGGTAATAAGCTTTTTGATATAAGGGTACACTAATCATTTAACTATATTTACAAAATACCATATCAGACACCACTTTCTTTCCTTAAATTTTGAAGTATTAGGTGCCTAATTTAGAAGATCATATTTTTTAGCTTTTTTTTTTGTCATTTTCCGGAAGAACTATTCTTGATATAATAAGATTTTATTCAGGAAAATGGCACGAAAATACCTCCCAACTCCACAAATCTAAATTAGGGATTTTGCACGGCCTAATCATTTAACGAGTCATAACTTCTATTATATAAAATGATAACAACAATGACAATTAATTTTTTGGAAGAATTACTCCTCATGTCTTAAGTGTTAGAAGGTTGTTAAAAATGTACGGCAACTTTAATCTAACAAATCTCAACTTTCACTTTGTCATGCGATGTTGACATCCAACATACTTTAGCAGCCATTAAAAAGCTATTATGTTGAAATGATTAAACTAAGCTTTTAATGTTGCCCGTAATTTAGGCTAATGATCTCTTTAAGTCTCATTCTTATGTACATCCTCCTATTAGATATAATCTTATTCAAGATATTGTAAGATACTTAATATGCACATTTTTTCCTGTAAGGATTTAAATATTGATTCATCATATTATGAAAAATTAATT